GACGGCTAGGCCATAACCCTCGTTTTCCCTCTGCCTTAACCAAGGAGCCGCAAAAGAGGCAGCGTGTGGCCTGTCTGCAGTACTGAAGTAACACCGAGACACTTGAGCTCGAATGGATGAGAGCAGATGGTGCCCTCCTACGCTACTGTGCTGTAGCAAGATCAATGCTAGCTGAGCCACTGCAACCAGTACGCAGGTATGTCCATCAGCAGAGAGGTCCTGCAGGACTGAAAAAAGATGCAGACGGAAAACATTTGTAAGGCGGCGACTGGATGAGAAAAAAATCTCACAGTCTGTGGGCATGAGGATACGCCCTTACAAAAAGTCCATATAGAACACGGTTTGTTGGTGTGTACATTTAAATGCATCTTGTTGATAACAGGATGCTATTTTTGACATCTCTTCAAAAATATGGACTTTTAACCTACTGGCTGAAAGCCCTTGTCAGGTACAGTTACTACAACCGGTTGTAGCAGCGAAGGAAGGGTCTGTTTTTCTAGAAGAGAAACTCCAGCTTCATCTGTGGTAGGTTTTGTAAAAATATTTTGTACATATGCAATAGTTCAGAGCCCCTGTTGGCATAGGTGTTCAGTCCAGTGGCTCACAGTGATGAGTGAGCTCCCAGGTGGGTTGTTCACAGAAGGTCTGAACGTACCAGCTCTTCTTTGTTTATTTTAAATTTCAGAAATATGCTTGGTAAGTTGGTGCTCTGCAAAATTCACCATTAGGACTACAGAAAATAGTTTGTTATAAAAATGGGTATTGTTATGTTAGTGTTACTCATATTCACTAGTAATATTTATATATCCACACAGTAAACCGCTAAAACTTTTAAACGTTGGTTGTATAGAAAAGCATCTTTGTCTAAGTGACGAATATTAAATATCATAAGTTGGAGAAGACAACAAGATGGTTGGAGGACTGAGAAGGTAAGACAGTTAAACTTTATGCTGTATCTTACTGGTTATAGCCTCCAAAATTATAGTAGTGCAATGGCAACTCATGGTCCCCTCCTGACATGAGGGAAAGCAGTACTGCATTTGCACATAAGGCTTGCACACCACTGGTGGCTTTCACCTAACTCATTTGTACTTAAAACTTTCTAAGAGGTCACTAAGGTAGGGGATAAAAAGCCCTGTGTGGCCCAGTACATCTTCCAACTCGGTAAAGGCTTCTTGATGAGCATTAGTCAGATTTTATTTTCAGTTGTTTTGTTAATGGTGTATTAATCACACTGCTTTTCCCACTTTCCTAGGCAGCATCAAGAGATAATGGGATTTGTCACACCAACGCTAAACTGCGACCAAGCGTCAACCCTTCTTTACATGGAACTGTCTGTTGAAAGAGGAAGCTGCAGTACTGAAAGCAGTCAGTGCTTGACTGCATGAGACTATGTCTGTCGGAAGGCAAACTATGTCTTACATCAAAAATTTGATGAAAAGCAAAATCTGTTAAATCATTTCAAGTTTCTTCTTTGCAGTGCAACAATAAACCAGTGATTGAGTGTTCTGAGAGCTGTTACTTGAGTAACTGGGGCAGGGGAAAGCTAAGGTTCCTGTTAAAGTATGTACAAGATATCTTGCTCTCTCTTCAGATTAAGATTTGTAGCTTGATTTACGATTGAAACCACAGAGGTCAACTTAAAAAGGCAAAAACTTTGTTTTAGCATACAGGGGTGGGAGAGGGGTTGTCTTCCTAGCAGAAGTAGTGCCTTTTTAGGTATGTGGTGAACTAAAACCGAATGTAGCTGTTTCATACAGAACAGCTAGAAATAGGTAGCCTCTGGAAACCTGAAGTTGTCAGTATAAAGGAATGCAACAGCAAAGTAAGCCAGTAATTTGTAACTATCACTAAACCAGTAAAAAAATAACTGCTGACAAAAGGCAAATGGCGAACTGATTTTAATTTAATTAAGCAATACTGCTGCAGGCATTCAGTGCTCATAACTGTATCTTAAACTCTATACTGCTGAAGTAAGGCATGCTTGAGGTTGTTAAAAACACTTGTGTGCTTTAATTATTTAAATAACATAGATTGAATATTTTGCTTTATAGTGTATGTGGCAATTATTAAGATAAATACCTAGCAACTTGCCCTGGTTTCATTCAACAGTGCTTGACAGTTGCCTGCGTGAGCCAGTAAGATGGTGAGAATACGAAGTTTCCCTTACTTGGACGAGCATCAGAACTTAATAACTTTACTAAAACAGGATTAAGTTTTTCTGATTTTAGAAGAGCACTCCTATCCAGCATATGCACAAGATAGTATCAAGAAGCACACTGCTTAAATTGACAATGATTTATTGTGTTTAGGAACACTGAATAAATACCAAGCTTTTAGCTTCAGTTTGGCAGTCCTTCCCCACCAAAAATCGGTTGGTTCTTTTTTTTTTTTCCTGGCATAATCTCCATTGCCAGCAATGGATGTATCAGAACAAGAAGTTAATAAATAATACACACAGACAGCCATCTTCTTAACATACCTCCTCTTTCAAAGGCATGATACAGATTTACTAAACAAATCTCAAGCAAGTTCTTCACAGAAGAAAATTTTGCTACAAGCTGTCTCTGAACATTGTTTTCTTCACCAGTGCTGGTAGTTTATTTCATGGCGCACAGCATTTTTTAACAGTACTGATGAATCATTTAAAAACAAGTTTATATCCCCTTTAAGGTAAGCTGAGACATGTGACTAGTACTGAACTGTATAAGAGTGGGCTACCTCTTGCTGAGCAATTCAAGGCAATCTTGAATAAACATCAGGAGAGGAAAAGGCAATACGATGCTTTGTTAGTAAGGGTCTGGGGCATTTTTTTTTAAGTTTGTTTCAGCTTAATTTTAACCCCCTGTTCAGTTGTTGAAGGTATCATATTTAACATGTTTTGTTTGACTTTCCATGAAGAATTGTGTTAAAAACACAACTGAAGAAACTTCCTGCTCATGATGAGAAACACTTGCAAGTACTTAGATTTGAATAGTCCTCTAAATTCCATTCATTTCTTATTAAAAATGTGTTTTTATAAAAGCATGAAGACTACAGAAAACAAATTAACAGAGTTAATCTCGTATATTTTTTCCACAACTGTATTTTACATATCACCAAACCTCCGCTTTAGCAAATGAAAAAAGAATAAAAATAAATTCTCTTCCAACTATTTACACACAGGAATTACCCTGCTGTGGGACCAGATACGTTACTCCACAGTCCCTCTAACCCAAGGTGTAATCTTAGGCGTATCCCTTTGTGATTTAGGTTCTTGGAAGTTTTCAGCAAACCTTTCTCTTGCTTTATCCCAGTTCTTTTTATTCTTGCTCTGGATGATCTGAACATCTTCAATTGAGGCTGGTCTACTTGTACCCAAACCTGCATGCGTCTTATGTAACTGAAGATGGATCTGTCAAATACATTAAATATTGTTGTAACTGCAAGTTAGATATTCTATATGCTTCAAATCATGTTTTAGAACAGTAATTCCACTTCCTCTCTCCAAGCGCATCTCTTAAAGGCTCTAATACACTTAGATCATACATGGATGTCTGTGATGCTTCAAATTGCCACCTCTAGAACTGTGATCTAGAGTGCTGAATGATGTCACCTGTCACTAACATTATGGTGAAGTACTCTTCACCGGACGAAGGTGCTGTGCGGTTGGATAACAGAAGGTATGGTGTGGCCCTGAGCAGCACTACTGCCAAAAGACAACACACCTCTGGTGCCAAAAAATGGGGCTAACACGGCTGCTGCAGAGGCCCAGAACTTGGTGTCTGTGGCGACTTCAGCCTCTTCCATGGCCCGTCTTCTAGCTTCACTTTCTGCTACATCAGCCTCAGAGAAAGTAAGGGATTCCACCATAAGCCCATCTTAAATTCACACCACAGAATTATTTCAATCTTCCTCCAGTCTTTGTATTCAAATATGAGATGATCAGGTCAATGGCTGGAAGTTTGTTTTCCTAACAAACACAGGCATCCCTGGCATTTTCCACTGAAGGGGCAAAATCACTGAAAAACGTTGAAATACTTCAGTAATCAGGTAAAAACTTACTTGAGATCACTCTTACTGAGACTGTTCCTAACCAGGGTTTTGAAATGTTTGATAAATAGTGGCTTACAATTAGAATTTTTTTTCACTCCCAATATATTCCTGTTCCTTTCTGTTCCATGTAAAAACCAGAGACACCTACCGGATCCTTCATACCACCACCATCCTTGCCCAGGCCTTCCCCTTTCTTCCATCCCATCTTCTCCAACATTTTATGTCCTTTGTTGCTGTTGCTGATTTCACTTTGAAGAAAGTTTAAGATAACTGATAAGCAAGAGTTAATACAGAGAGTATGCTGTCTACTCAAATACTGCGGGACAGAAATGTGCATGCATGTGCTGCTCTAGAAACCAGAACTGCTTCCATCAAGAGCCATCCAGAAGACCCCAGTACTACCTTTTGCAAGTTCTTCAATGAGTATCTGTGGTTACCAAAACTATTCCAAAGCATCTGGTTAACACCAACTTTCTTAAACCTCCTTCTGCACCACCTTCTTATTTTAGGAGTCAGAAGATGGCATAAGTGGGTGGGAACTGGTGGGTGGGTGACTGCATTAGGGAAAAGGCAGTATCACTACCTCACCACCAAATCACCCTTATGCACATACCTCATTGTCTCACACTTCCTTTTACTAACTTGCAAGCACCTACAAGATTAAACTGTCATTTAAGGAGGTATGTAAATGCCTGTCCTATGATAGGCTGTATATTGACAATGAGAGTGACAGCAGGTGGAAAATTTGCATGTGTACTATTAACTGGGACTGGATAGGAAAAACAGAAATTGAGGCATTTGGCATTTGAAAACTGGACACTGTTGAAGGTGCAAATAATGCAGCTGTGGAGTTCCTTGATTCTTTGACTTGGTAAGAAAGTGATCTAAGCATCCTTACTGCCAGGTTGAATTCTGCATGGAAGGGGAAGAGTTAATAGAAGAGCATATGAACTAGGAAGTGAGAATAGCTCACTATTTTCTAGCTTTCATAACACATTATGTACAGGCAATTAACAATCTAACAAACTGTATTCAATATGTATTATTCCCACCACTGACCCTCCCCTCCCCCAAACAAACTTACATATGAACAGAAGCTGGACTATCATGTCTCTGGAAGGTTCCTTCACTTCCAATGGTCTCTCTGCGTTTTCCTGCTCTGTCTTTGTACTTTGGATTCTTCACTGCTTTGTTGTCTTCATACTCTGTGTTCTTTATAAGCAGATTAGATTCCATCAAGGCAAAGAAAGCAGGATTTCAAGTCTTTATTTTTGGTAACTGCTTTCCTCCAAAACGTCAGTCAGCTTCAGTCTATTTCATTATTTCTAAATCTTGCAACAAAAAACTAGAGTTCTCATTTAGTAGTTTCTTACCTTACAGCCATACCCTGTAAGGTATGTTATTGCCATCATCACATAATAATGTGATATTGCCAAATTCATTAATGTCACAGAGGCTGTAAATAAATTAATAGACTCTTTTGAATCTTCTCTTGGTATGAGGAATCAATCTCTCCCTATTAGCAAAAAACCACATGGCCATGCTACGGGTTTTTTGTTTAAACAGTCTTTTCCTCAGCAACTGTTTCTTCAGAACAGATGACAACTAAGCACATGTACAGACTGCGTATTGATACTGTTTTGCTAGCTGAAAAATTTGAGAGAAATGATTCCATTTAGTTTTCTACACCAACACTTGACAAGTGCTAGATGTAACCCCACAGTTAGAATAAACTCTAAACCAGAAGTAACTTGAATACTTAGTATGATATTGCCTGTACATTCATGCTGGCATTCTTCTATGGCAAAGCAGACTTAAAATAAAAACTTGTTCCTTCCATCATTCCGAGATGCTTATGATTTTTCCTTTCCAAATAAAAGACAGCACTGCAATTCAGTGCAAAGAGAAGTTGCAGAAATAAGACATGTTTTAAGAAATCTTATCCTCAGAAGGATGAGGAATCTTGTACACATTGGAATGGATCTTCTT